TACTCTGGAGGAGCTGCAGACCCCCACAGCTCACCTGGGTGAATCTGTACATGGGGAAAACATTAGCCATACACTTCACAAATGTGGCTTTACGTGAAGAGCACAGCAGCATATAAACTACATTACACAGGCCATGTGTCGCCCTCTTAAGCTTGTTTGACTGCGCTGAGAGCTGTGCATACACCAGCTGCTCAAAACCCTGTTATGTCTGCTCGCATTGCCCCAGAGAGGTTAAGTAACATTTATTGGCTTGTTAAAACACTACTGTTTTGTCTCAGGAGCTGTCTGCTTTTGCAGCTCACCACATTTCCCACCGTTGACATAACATCTTGTTGAAAAATCAACCAGAAAGATTTGTTTTGTAAACGGAAGAAAAATAGATTTTAATTACGATTAAAAACTTAAAATAAGTTTTACATTTTTTCTGAGCCACTGTGGCTCAGTTGGTAGAGCATTGGCCTTTGAGCCTGAAGGTCGTGGATTCGAGCCCACCGTAAAACCTTCTTCAGGACTCCCGCTGATGACTGATGTTGTTGTGTCCTTGGGCAAGACACTCAACCCCGCTTTGCCTGAAGCTCCCGCTGAAAGAACTCCTGTGGACTCACCACCTGCAGGAGGATCAGTGACGGGCTGGTGCTCTGTGTACTGGGTGCAGCTCTGACTGCCACCACCCCGACCCCAGAAATGGATTAAGGGGAAGAAAATGGATGGATGGAACTTAAAATACAGTAATGACCAAGGAAACATCATACATGAAGTAATCCGCCGCCCCACGTCGCTTGAAAGACTCGTTACTTACTTAAGTAGCTCAGGCCCAGAACCAGGACACACTGTGGACCATGAGGATGCAGCGTTTCAGATTCATGTAACTTGAAAGAAAGGATGACACCCGCACACTGTCCAACTTGCAAACACCAGTGGTTTATTAGCAACGTTTCGGCCACAGGCCTTCCTCAGGCAAAATATATATTATGTTTGGCCACCTAGTGCGCGCCCACTCCTACGCACCTGTCAGAGAAGAGATGTGTGAAGTCTACCTCTTTTAGATTCATGTAACTAAAATCTGGAGCAATCTTCCTGAAAAACCAAGACAGGATTCTACTCTTTCAATGTTCAAACCCCTGATAAAAACTGTTCTGTTTAGCTGTGCAGACAACTGAAGGATTGTATCTTCACTCTTAGAAATTTACTGTGGAATGATTTTAATGTTTTTATCTCTTGTTTGAGTTGGCTTATGTATGAACTATGCTATGCAAATATACATGCCTTGCCCTGCCTATTTGGCCGGGCAAGGGATGTGCCCGGCCAAAAAGGTGCTAAAATTCTAAAATATATTACAGAGGAAGCGAAGGACAGATTAATACAGCAGGGCCCTCGACTTCGATTGTTCCTTAAAGCACTACATTTATTCACCAGAGTCTGCTCTTTTCTAAATGTATATAAAGTGGGACACAGTTTATTAAAGTCCATGACCTTTAGAATACTCACAGAGGAGTCGAAAGCAGGAAGCAGTCTTTGTTTACCTTCTTTAATCCTGTTTGCTCAATGCAGATTTCATCTTGGAGATTTTATATGTTTTGCAGACAATACTTTTCAGATCGTAACTGCCAACTGTCCTCGAGAAAGGTTACTTGGGGCACCTTCCTGCATATGATTTCTGTGTGTGTGTGTGTGTGTGTGTGTGTGTGTGTGTGTGGTTGTGTGTGTGTGTTTGTATGTGTGTGTTTCACTCTTGCCAAGTGGAAATATTTGTTGAACTGGAGACAAACGCTGGAGCAGAACTTACATCTGGAAATCAGCCAGTCAATATTTCATCCAGTATTCTGTAGAACTCCGGATATTTGTTGTTTTCTTTATTTGGCCTTTAGTCTTTTAGAATAACAAACTTTTGTAACCATGATATCATTCAATGGTTTTAGTGATCACTTTAGACAATTTTCTCTTTTTTTGGTGTTTTATGAATCTAGGATACTTCATAACCATCGACTGTACTGTAGGACTGTACTTTCTGATTTTCCTCTTACACTATGAAAGTTCACAATATTTGGTGACCCTTTGACCATATGGGTTTTTTAAAGCACAGTGAAGCAAAGGAGACAAAGGAAACCACCACAACATAAAATTTTTAATCAATGTATTTCAAGCATCCAACTACAAGTACGCAAGTTCTGTAACAAAACAGCATCACATGTTACGCTGTTGTTCCTCTCTGATCGTTTGATTAACATACCAGGAAGAACTTTACTTGGTAATCCCTCCAAAAGTGCTTATAGCAAACTAGCTTTCACATTGTTCACGTCCTCTGGTACCTTATGCTCATGGTCCCCATAATGAAATCTACAGGGAACTCTGTATAACACCACAAAATGCAGCATGATGAGTCCGTAGCTTTACAGTTGCAGGCTTGATAATGGAGGCGGAGAAAAACGCCTGGAATCACCTTAGGACACGGACAACGTGAGACTTCAGAGAGGCCCCATAAAAACTAAATAAAACTGTGAATTCTCTGTTTCCTCCTCACACTAGCACAAAAAGACACACACACACACACACACTGAAACAGACCGTTGAAAAAAAGGAATGTAAAATGCAGTGGTTCTGGCTCAGGCTCTGGCTTGTATGATCGTTCACCTGTTGCATTCTCCCAGAGTCATGCTTCCTGTATCTCATTTTGGAGTACATATTTTTTACACTCTTAAAAAAAATAAAAAGTAGTCTAACATGGACAATACAACAACAATATTGTACTTGTAACTGTACCTATATTTCCTGTCTAATTGCTGTTTTGTAAATAAGTGTGATTTGTACCAAAAACGTGTTAAAAAATAAATAAATAATACTTTAGTATGAAAACACATTTGTTTGTTTACCCAATTTAGATTATTCTGATTGTTGTCTCACACAGATCCTCACATTAATTCATTGTGCAGTCGAGCCTCTATTGTTCCAACAGCACCTGTACATTTACAGCAGGAAACAGGGAGTGTGTGTTTTAAGACAAATTTGAATTCAAATTTAAACTTCAGAGAAGGCGACAGAAAACCCACATGTTTAGTTTCAGAAGCTGACTTGCACCAGCACCAAGTCGCTGAAGGAGTCAGTAATAATATTTAATAATGTCCAGTGTATGTTACTGATTTCTATTATTTCAAAGTTATGTTGTCTGACTCTGGTGTATTAGACTGAATCACATGTGTATTGTCTATCTTTCTGCATATTTCTTGGGCTGACACCTCAGAGGAAAAGAGACAGGTCTGCATAATCATTGTGGTTTAACCTTTGAAATAGAATGCGCTATATGCACGGGGAGGCGTGATGTCATTTCCTGTTAACAAAGCACAGCCCTTTCACTTCCTGCCTATGCTATCGCTATGGCTTTTAGGTGGGTTTTAGTGACGTTTTTTAGTAATTAGATCGATACATTCAGCTGTGAGACTGACCCAAAAGTGTTGCTGTGCTTTCTCTCTGAGGTAGAGCTTGGACTGAGGCCACTCAGAGCGATTTGTAAACTTTATAAAAACACAATGACCACAATCAAAGAGCACTACTGTGTCCCAAAAATGCCCAGTATCCTCACAGTTTAATTCCCGTTTGAGCATTATTTGGGAAACTCGTGTAAACCACTGCTGAACTCCAGTGAAACTCAAGCTGTTTCCCGCGAACAAGAAGTGAAGTGGAGTTGTAGCTAATACGCGGAAGTGGTGCGTGCATAGCATGGATCGAGGTGCATAGAGCCCATTGCTATACGTGAACTCTTGACTTCAGGACACTTTGCAGTTTCCTGGATTTTTGCTGTTGTATATTTTTCATTTTGGCAGTCTTCTGCCTCTTACACACAGTCCGTGTTTCAAATACAATTTCTGAAAAAATCTGTGGAGCTTAATTAATGCTCTTTATTATACAGCTTCATTGATTTAAACGTAATTTCAAATATTTCTACTGGTCATTATTTCTTGATAACGGACCTCTGAAATAATGGCCGCTGCCCATGGAAACGCATTTTACCTTGTAATTGAGATGAGTAAAGATCACTCCGCAAGTTTTACGGCCGCTTTCAGCGACGTGGCACCTGTCATTCCAACTGTCTCTGTGAGAGAAGCTGTTGGAGCTAGCCACGCTAGCTCTGCTCAATAAACACAAATCCCACCCAAGATCTATTTACGTCTTTTGGCCATTTGTGAAATATGATCAGGTTTAAGGGGCCTGAGTTTGGAATCCAAATGTAATTACGTACAAGACAAGTACATATACTGTATATTTGTCTGAGTAAATGGCTTGCCTTGAATTGTTTCCTCCAAGAAGTACCTAGTACCGGTCGAACAGGGCCGTTGGAAATGCTCAATCTGGGGTAGAGTAGAGTAGGTTTCAAATTCAGTTACACCCGTAATAAAGTGTGTGTGTTTTCTTTTTTTAGACCTGAAGATAGCAGTAGATAAAAAGCTCCTTAAAAACCATTGTCATGCTTATATTTAACAAATACTTGTATTTATAAATATATAGCATGTTTAGAAACTTAATTCAATATTCTAAAGTACAAATGATCTAAAGTAACTTTATAATGCATATATATATATATAATAATGCAATCTGTTAGTTACTGTTTGTGCTCTGTGTTACTATGGTGACTCCTGAGGTAGAGTGAATCCCCACTGACCCCACTATAATGATTATCATGTTGTGATGACATGATTATTGCTCTCATCAAACTTATTGTATTGTTCATACATTTGTCCATAAACATAAATGTAATTGTAGGCCATAGATTCAAGCATGATAAAGGCGTTTCTATTCCTTTAGATTAGTCAATATAACAGTAAATGTTGATGAGTCATGTGTTGTTTGAAACTGTCATGAAACTTTTCTTCCTGGTCTTTGTGTAATTGAAGTCAGCCTTCTGTCCCGCAGCGGCTCCACAACTCAGTCAGAAAGGGGCATTTATGTCTTCTTCTATGAAATCCACTGGTCAGACTTCGCTTCTGCGCCTTGGGCAGATGGGGCAGATGGGGCCCAACAGCCCGCGAGCTCGAGAGGGGAAGTATCACGTGGTAACACTTCTTTACGACTGTCGTCACCACTTTCATCTCCAGGCAACCGCTCCATCAGCACTCACGTCACTGCGCACCCGATCCGCGCGGTTGCATAGTAACCCAGCCGTGCGCTCGCCTCGCGCCCCGCGCTGGGCTCTGACGTCGGTGTGACGTCAATAAGGCGGTATCAGTTTGTTGTGGCTGAGGCAGAGGACAGAGGCGGAGCCGCGTGGCCCGTCAGCTGTGGGCATTCCACCGGTTTCAGAGCACAGTGAGGCGGCCAGAGAGCCAGACACAGCTCCTGCTCCAGAGAACTCATGTGGAACTGATGACGCTTGATCTCAGAGCGCTTTGAACCGAGACCGGAGGCTTTTGTTTTAATGAGGTAAGAAACACATTTTATTTCTTATCACATTAATGACAACTTTCACTCCACAGCGCTACTAGCTTGGTTTTTTAATCCTACAATCAGAGGCTTTAGCCAAGTTTATTGTAGCCTTATTTACATATTCAATAAATAAATGTTATATAAACCATGAAAGCTGGCCAGAGAATTAAATGTATTTATTCACGTATCAATGATTATGCAATTGTGGAAAACAGCCTAATATAAGAGCGATGTCCCGTGTGTGCAGGGTGTCGCCTTAATTCTTCCGCACATTGTACTGCACCATGGTGATCATGTCAGCGAGCAGCGGTGCTCAGTCCAGCCCTGCTCAGGGACGTCCACTACAGGTGGGCTTCTATGAAATTATCCGCACGCTGGGAAAAGGAAACTTTGCCGTGGTGAAGCTGGCAAAGCATAAAGTCACCAAAACACAGGTCAGCTCCCACACTTGACAAACATTTAATGTCAGTTTCTTTACTTCACAACATTGATAATGTTCATATTTCTGATATCTTGTAGGTGGCCATAAAGATAATTGATAAGACCAGGCTAAATCCATCCAATCTGGAGAAAATCTACAGAGAGGTGCAGATAATGAAGCTGATGAACCACCCTCATATCATTAAACTGTACCAGGTTAGTACAGTGCTGTTTTTTTCCTTCACAGAATGAAAAACTGTTGCTTCATGTTGGTGTATTTTCTACATCTGTGCATTGCTTAATTGCTTAGAAAAAGTCTTTGTGTAAATTATCCCTGCGGATTGTTGGTCTTGTGGTTAGACCAACAATCTGAGTTGTGTGCGTCTGAGTTGTCAGTGAGAGCAATTACAGTACGTACCAGTGCATTTCTGACATAGTACTTTTGTGTATAAGAACACCCTGCACTGATGTGGGCAGCTCACACCCTTTCTCTCAACATTAATCCTAAGTCCAAGTGCAACGTGTTTAAGCGTCACGTGAAGGCAGCCACACAAAGCACTGCTTTAGTGCTAATCAAATTTAAAGACTTAGAGAATCCGCTTTTTCCCCTCATCTGGTCTCACAGTGTGGTATACATCTGCCACCACTCTCTCACACACCGATACAATGCACTGTTGATTTCAATGAATTGCAATGTTACAGTTTACTTAAGATGTTTCTTTTCTTTGAATCTTGAGAAATAAGATAATGATAACCCTATCAGGTCTTAAGATAGGCAGTGCAGTGTGCGGTCATCATGTGATTCAAAAGTGATGTTATTTTTACGTCAGTTGAACATCTATTGGACCCTTATTTTTTGAACTTCTGCTTCATTTCCTCTTATGCCTCATGACAAAACAGTTTCCTTTTCTCTCATGACCCGGCCCACACTGTGCAAATGTTTTCTCATACCCCATTTTCCTTTGCAAAGGTCACTTGATTCACAAGCGTCCTCTTTTTGGGTTACCTGAAACATCGGCATTTCATTCACTTATTGCTATCTCCCAACTCTCCCTGCTCTGTGTTTAGTGCATGTGCAATCATGAGTTAATCACAGTTGTGGTTGGAGAGCCCTTGACGCGCTCTGCCAGTTGCACAAAGCCATGACGTCAGTTACACCTCAAGGTGACCGGGCTCCGAAGAGCTGCTCTATCTCTCAGATAAGGCTGCTGCCTGTTCAGAGGCATCTGTGGATTCAATCATTGTGAGACATAAAAGAACTGCTCCTGACCATTCACTGGAAATAGAGTGACATTCAATTCAGAGTTGGCCGATGGGGCTTTCAGACAGGCCTTTGTCAGGGACCAACATTACATTTTGTTGCCAGTATTGTGCCCCACAGAACTGCACTGACATGTGAGACACAGACCATGTAAACCGCAGGGGACTGTCACTAGATATGATAATGGCGTTCAAAGAAACATTATTTTGAAGTATTGAACAAGCTTGATGTTACTAGTCGCTTTTTCATATGTCCCACAAAGACACATTTGATATTTATCTCGGTAGGGATGCATCTCAGTGTGTAAAGACCAAAAAAAGATATGTTAAAATCATCCTCAAACAGACTGCGTTAATAAACCTTCAATCAGCCAGTCTAACTGGTATCCACATTTCTTTCCCTTTGTCCTTAGGTCATGGAGACCAAAGACATGCTGTACATTGTCACAGAGTATGCAAAGAACGGAGAGATGTTCGGTAAGTTCACTTGTTTGAGCTAACGACCAATAACACTAAACAGCTCAGAGATAATGAAGTGGAATCTCTTGTTATTGCAGACCACCTCACCTCAAATGGTCGGTTGAGTGAAGACGAAGCACGGAAAAAGTTTTGCCAAATCTTGGCTGCCGTGGACTACTGCCACCAACACCACATCGTTCACCGGGACCTTAAAACAGAAAACCTGCTTCTGGATGTCAACATGAACATAAAACTAGCAGGTAGGAAAACAGGACTGATTCATTAACAATATTAACCTCACATTAAACACATGGATTCAATGTAATGTCTCCTTCTTTATTCCTGTAGATTTTGGCTTCGGTAACTTTTACAACGCAGGGGAGCCTCTGTCAACGTGGTGTGGCAGTCCGCCTTATGCTGCTCCAGAAGTTTTTGAAGGAAAGGAATATGAGGGCCCTGGATTGGACATTTGGGTACGACAAGTCACTGTTCTTTTTCATTTTTTATATATATTTATTTCAAGCTTACAAACAGGAATCAATTGGAATTTACAGCAATTACATACTATACATGATAGAAACATACATATGTTAATACATATACATTCAAACATCATTTAAGGGTTTACTCCTGTTTAAAAGAACACATTATTCTATGTTGTCTTGATTCATAAATAACACTATACATTCTCTTGTTTGAAACAGAGCCTTGGTGTGGTGTTGTACGTTCTTGTCTGCGGTTCTCTCCCGTTTGATGGACCAAACCTGCCGGCTCTGAGACAGCGGGTGACAGAGGGCCGCTTTAGGATCCCCTTCTTCATGTCCCAGGATTGTGAAAACCTAATTCGAAAGATGCTCGTTGTGGATCCGACCAAAAGAATCACCGTAGCTCAGATTAAGCAGCACCGATGGATGCTAGCGGACCCCACGGCTGCGCACCAAACCCTCAGCCGCCCTCTGACAGAGTACAACTCAAACCTGGGAGACTACAGCGAACCAGTGCTCAGCATCATGAACTCTCTGGGTATCGATCGACAGAGGACCGTTGAGGTAAGGCAGGTTTCAAACAGTAACGCTAGGACTCCCAGGATTCTGCCAAAGCCGTCATTTTGACTGCTCCTTTTCAAACTGAGAAATTCCCTTAAATATTTAGCTTTTCATCAGATGTATTACCTTGCAAGTTGAGTGGCTAAGGCTAAAGACCAATTGCTAACTTCTGCAAGAAAACAGTGTGGCTATGGTAACTAGCACTTCTCTGGTGGAAAACCAAGCTGAACCAACACAGAATCAGTCCAGGATCTTGAAAAGTGGGTTTAACTTCCACACAAAGTTGGTTTCCAAGAAAATGGCTACATTCAAATTAAAGAAGGATTTAGTAAAAATTATGTCATAGAAATAAACGACATCTAGAAATATGGAAAAAGTCACAAACTAGAAGAGCACAAATGTACACACACGTCCAAAACGAAATATCCTGGGAGTCTAGTGTTAAAGCACAACAGGCCGAAAGCATTGACAGATCCTAAAATGGCTTCTTCATCCACAGTCTCTCCAGAGTAGCAGCTACAATCACTTCTCCGCTATCTACTACCTGCTACTGGAACGTGTTCGAGAGCATCGCAAGCAGCAGCTCAGCCGTCAGTGTGGAACCTGGACCCAGAGACCCAGGAGTATTTCAGACTCCTCAAGTGCAGAGGTGAATGACGAAACACACATAGCAATGCGCAAATAGGTGGTTTTTGCAACATGACTGTATTTTCTTATGTCTTTCAGGTGATCATGGAATCCACAGATATCTTCAGAGCTGCTGCGTATTCCACTCCGTCCAAATCCAGCCCTACCCCTGTCTACATTCCCGAAGTGGAGAGTGAACATGGAGTACTATTCCAGGTACCAGATTGTTTGAAAATACAGTATGAAATTGATATTCTTTGTGTTAATATCTTTTGTAGCATATTTGTAACTGAAATATTTCTAAATAAGTGATCGTGCTGTGGTTCCTTGCAGCGTGTGGTATTCCCGGTGGAGGCCAGTCTGAATCGGCTTCTGTGGAATCGGTCCATTTCCCCCAACAGCCTCCTGGAGACCAGCATCAGTGAGGAAGTGCGACCCCGTGACCTGGAGGAGGAGGAGGCGTCTCAGACTCTTGGACCTCTGCTCCTTCCCACCACTACGTCCCGCAGACACACACTGGCGGAGGTCTCCACTGGGTTCAGTCAGTGCAACCCTCCATGTAAGCAGCAGGATACCACTTACACCATGTCGTTATTATTATGTGCAGTGGTTAATATTTTGGATGGTCTCTGCAGGTATTGTGGTCAGCCCCTCTGATGGAGCCTCCTCTGACAGCTGTCTGAAGTCCTCATCTAGCCCCAGTACCATGGCATGCGATGCAGCAGGGGATCTGTCCGCTCTCTTGGCCTCTGGAACTGAAAATGGAGCCTTACTGCAGACTGGAGCTCCTCTGGCCCTGTCCGCTCACCTGCTCCCCCAGGCACAGGGTGGTCTTCCCGCCAGCTTCCAAGAGGGTCGACGTGCCTCGGACACTTCTCTTACTCAAGGTACATGAAACCCTCTGACATTAAACAGACCTTACATCATGTTGTGGATCAAACTGGGACCTAACGCTCTCCCTTTACTTTCCCTTAGGCCTCAAAGCTTTCCGTCAGCAGCTGAGGAAAAACACACGCACCAAAGGGCTTCTGGGATTAAACAAGATCAAGGGTCTGACCAGACAAGCCGTTCCCCCACCTTCCTGTAACCGCTGCAGTAGGGGGTCACTGGGGCCAGCGCTGTCCGAGCACCGCAGCATGTTGGAGGAAGTGTTGCACCAGCAGAGGTAAGACTCATCACAAACGGTTCAGAGACGGTTCATGTTGAGAACATCTTTAACTCATATTTTTATTTTTTTTATTTTTAGAATGCTCCAGATCCAGCACCAACCTCATTCTCAGGTCCCTGCAGCGCCGACTGGACCTACCCAGAATCCACTACTGTATCTGTCGGCGCAGCAGCAGTCTCCGTCCCCTCCTCCGTCAAACCTCTTTTCCACACCGTCCATGTTCGAGGCCCCCTCTGTGCTGCCAGCCCAGGGCGTGCACTGGTCACCTGCTGCGGACTCCTGCCCCGCCCCCTACTCCTCTATGTCCCCTGTGGCTTCTGCTGCTTATCTCCTGGAGGCCCGTCTGCACATCAGCCCGCAACCTCCTCTGCACCTCCAGCCTCAAGAGTCCTTCATATCCACCTCACACTTCTTTCCCCTTCACTCCAAACCAGCCATGTGGGTGACATCAATAAATGAGGACCCCAATGTGCAAGACCTGGGCAGGGCAGGACAGTCCCAGTTCAGCAGTTGTGTCATGGTGAAGTAACCACCCTAGAATGGACGAATGACCATGTGTGATACTCCAATAGGGACATCTAATAAGCTGTAGACTAAGCAATAACCAAACAATTGGTGGCGACACTAAACCTGTATCCAAAAAGCAATAATGAACTACGTAAATGAAGATTTACTTATTTAGACACTGGAGAGAGACAGAAGTAACACAGCTGCTGTACTATTACCCAAAACGGGAAGTTTGCATCTTCCTTGGTTTAGGTACATTTTTGAATGTGTCTCACTTCCTGTTCTTGTTTTTACCACACATACTGGACAAAAGACCAAAATGTTTGTTTCGTTTTGAAGTCGTTTGCCTTTCTGAAGAGATGTGCAAGTAGGGTATTGAGCAAACTAAATATTGCCCCGTGCTTACCCAAACTAAAACTGTGAGACGCTTGCTACGCTAAATGCTGCTTTTACCTCAACCCGCAGAATAACTACTACAGTCGCATTAGCCTGAACTATTTCGGTTTAGAAGAAGGCTGATTTGAAGCACAACAAGGTACGCTTTCAGCTTAGTAGCACCTTACAAGAATGCCCATAGGTAATATTTACTACCTCCTCAGGCAACGCAGTAACAAGGAAACAAGTAGTTTATCAGGATATGAACAGAACAAAGACGAGAGCAGTGCAATATTTCTCATAAATCTATGTAGGTTCAAGTTTTGCTCGACTTTCCTTTTCTGTCTGTTGTATAAAACTAAACTGAAAATATTTGGGTTTTACCAAAGAATTACAGCACAAATGATGGGCCAACAGTCACAGATAGACACTACTGAATCACTTTCACTTTAAATACTATTCTACCTGTAGCATAGTTATGTGTTCGTATTAAAGACCATTTTTCTTAGAGTTTTGAGAAACACCGTTGCCAATCTCCAGTCGCGTTGAAACATTTCTAGTTGGTTTTGCCAGTGTTGAGGTGGTATTACTTTTTGTACTTTTGTAGAAAATAAAGACGAATAAAAATGAAGTCAAACATTCATTCATAACACAGCAATACCGTTTTGTGCTGGATCAGTGAGTAGGAAAAGGTGTTTAGATGCTGTATTACTATATATGTCACCTGTAATATTCAATGTTTTGCTTGTTACTTTATATCAGTCGCGAGCAAAGTATATATTCCTCGTTTTGGGATTCACTTCCAGCACCTGTGCCTTTCTCTGAACAAAAAGACTGCATCCCTGAAGAATTTACTAAGCAGCCACTCAGAAGGCCCTTTTTGATACCTTTTCTATCTTGCTGTGTAAACTGATGCACTTTACTCATGTTACATATGTTGTCAAACTTCATACTTCTACACTACATCCCTTTTGATATGTACTTTACTATGAGACGTGTCCAGTGTCTTGTGTTACTGTGAGCATATGTGTGGTGTGTGTGTGTGTGAGTGTGTGAGAGAGAGAAGTCACTCCAAACTAATGGAAACACTGCTGTTGAACAGAGAATGATTGTTTATTTATGTGGATATTTATTTAAATAAATCTCACTTCCTAAATATTTGATCTCTGGTGTTTTTTATTTAATTTTAAGAGGAAAAAAACTTAAATGTTCCTGAACATTTAGAGGGCTCTCAAACTCAGGCATCCTCTTTATACGGGTGATATCTAATCCCAACTTTTTCACTGATGAATAAAATTTTAAAAGAACATCAAACACACATGTCCAAGTATGTTCATTTTGTCTGCTTTTGACCATAGACTGTACAAACAATGCCCACAAGCTCATGGACAAAACGAAAGTGTGGTTTATACAATGGTCTAAGATCCTGGAGTTCACATTTTGATTTTGGCTCTGTAAATCCAGATATAAGCCAAATAGGGTTTAACCAATCAGATGCCCTAATTCACAGAAGAAACGCTAGCTTGCCATAGCAACTATCATAGCAACCCATCTGCCCATGTGTTGCTACTAAAACTTTGAATTCCATGAAATAATATAAACAATTCCTCACGACTTAACAATAACCTTGCCGGATGTTGGATGATGTACATCTGTTGAAAAAAACAAAAACAAAATAAGGCAGTCATGAGTAACTGGATATCAACCCACTTGGTTTTGGGCACTTTTACCATCAAATTGGATCAATCATTTGCTAAAGGCCTATAATTAAAAAACTAGGGGTTAAAAAAAACATACAAACAACAAATCATGTTGTAGTCACATCTTGGAAAATCAAAAACATGTACATAGCTTTCTTCAAGGAGTGAACATTAAAGGGTTAAGAATGTGATTTCTGTATCAGCAGTGAATGACGTGAGCTCTGGTGTAGAAGTGGGGGTGATGATGTGATGATGCACGAATGACGAGCGTTTGGACGTTTGGTGTCTGCGGTGGAGCCAAATCCAGCACGCGCCATGTTCTTTTTTATCGTGTCCGGTTAAGCAGGAGAGCGAGAGAGGTGTGAGGCGAACAGACACACATGTCGCTCTCGAAACATTCAACATATGGCCCGACATTTGGCTCGAGCCGTCCATAAGGATTGGGAAGAGAGACCAGGGCCAGGGGCAACAAGCATATCAGTCATCGGCAAAGGCCAGCTGCAGACGTGACCTTGCTGCAGACCGTGACCAGGCTCTCAACACATGATCTAGAGCATGAATGCAAATCTGAGTGAGCTTAACCAGGACAATGAGGACAAAAATAAATGCTTATTTTGAGTAAAGCTGAAAAAATATTGGGCTTAAAGCTGAGTTTGTCACTTGTTTTGTTATTGTCACGGTGTGGACTTTTTAATTATTTTGACCTGGTTTTATTTTGCTACATTTGTTCTGTTGTAGTTAGAGATCTTGTCCTGTCTCCTGTTGATTGTTTGCCCTGATGTGATCCCCTGTGTGTATTTATTCCCTGTGCTTCTCCCCACTTGTTGTCCGTCCATTGTCTGTATCACGTTTGTTCCTGGCCAGTTTTCAGTTCTGGATTTGTTTGTATTTTGTGGTTACCTTGAATTTATTTGATTGAATTACACTTTTTTTTCTGTCCTGCATTTTGGGTTACTTTTTTCATATTACCACATGACAGTAATAACAGTTATAACTTTGTTTATGGCTTACATGGCTCACAGTACAATTCCAAAAATTATTATTAAGGGTTTTTTTATCAAGTTGTAAAAAATTTGGATCTATCATGTATTATTTTCACCATCCATTGGAAGCATATTCTAGTTTTAAAAGTTTCACCTGTATTTTTGGTCTCTGTCATATCGATCCTTGGATAAATTTTGGTCGATTTGTTCACACCGTTTTTCTTTTACGAGACAACAACATTATTTATTAACAGAAAAGTCAAGTGTCCCAACTTGAATGGTGAGCCCCGTGGAGCTCTAAGAAAGGGCATCGCTACAAAAGATCACAATGTGAGAATTTCCATTACACACATAGGGTATTTTTATCATTCCTGGTGCTACGTAAAATACCGGACGTGCACCATTAATCAGTGTGCTCCCATTTTTTTTATATTTTCCACATGTTCAAACCAAAAGATAGAACTGTTTTGAGAACTCATGGCCAGCTTCGGGCATCAATCAGCTCGAGGTTTACACAGAATTTTACCTTGTTAAAAACAAATAATAACAATAATCTCTTAAATCCGATAGGGTGGTCTGCCTCTGAAAATCATGGGAGCACTTACTTTGGCTCGCCCTTTAGATAAGGTGCTAGGACAATACTTACAACCACTCAAAATAATTGAAGAATTCATATGCAAAAACTGATATTTCTGTTTTGAAATTTTGTCCAAACATTGTATTCCTCTAGTTACAATCTTCAAAATGTTCTGTTATTGGCTGCACACTTAAAAGAATTTGCTCAAGAAGTGGTGATACTATTCGTATAGCATAAAAATAGAGCTGTCTGTTTACAGAACTACTTTGTAAAGAGAAAGTTGTAAGCTATTCCAATGTGTTTCCAATAGCACTGTTAAAATAAACTATTCAATTACTGTAAAAAATCTTTGTTTAATGTTTTAAGAAATATATAAATGAGTAAAAGGTAGACGAGAAATCTAACTAAAACACAATCGTTTGCAGGTTATAAAAAGGAAAACTGAATGGGGTTGAGTGCTCATCTGTCCTGAGAGGTTTTTGATCATGAGGTATGCAGAGTATTGGCCCATGTAATGTGAGCTCCGGGGTCGAGGTGAATCTGTCTGGGTCACTGACAACACAAACAGAACTTACTGCAGCTGTGCCTTTTGTTTTGGAGTAAATACAAAAAATCCAGCCTCACTACAAGAGTGTAATACTGCCGCTTACGCTATATCTTCAGCTTCTTCGATTCAATTATACTTTTTATGTTACTTTATAGATGCTTGGGATAGCTCCACAAAGTCTACAAATGAACAAAGGTGAAAACACTATCTAACTATAGTTTTAGCAGACAGACCCAGATATAACACAAGATAAAGACATTAGGTCAACAAGTCTTCATTTTGACTATTGGTGTTAGTTAGAAATGACCCAACAATTCTCTCCTGTTGTATGGTTCAAAGTGAGAGCACTACTCTATGTGAAAGTACTACGTTCCCAGAAAATCCTGTTCAGGTGCATGCATTTTTAAAAATGCATAATCAAAAGAGAAAAAGGGAGAATATAAAACAAAATAAAAACAATACAAACAGAATATGTTCCTTGTTATATGATATATAATTACTGTGTTCCTCCATACATACTGTCGCTGGGATCATCTGCCCAATGTCATGTCATCCAAAACACATTCTGGAGATGACGTCACGCAACAGCAGATGGAGGAGCTGTGTGTGACCCATGAAAACTGACTCCATTCGGCTGGTCATTAAAAACCTGTCCAACCACTTATAACGCCCTGGTTCCATGCGTGCAGCGAAGAAGTCTGATACTTTCAAAGGCGTCTCGTAACTTTGGAAGAGTAATTGTGAATAACATTGCTATTGTAGTGTTATGCAAAGTCAGCCTAGGAGGAATGTCCAAATATACACATTTTCAATATAATCATGGCTTTATGTGCTCTTAAA